ACATCGAACATTATTTTTCCTAAAAATAAATCGAGTATTAACAAAGTTTGATTTTAAATGATATTTCATTTAAAAGACAGAAAATACTTTAAAGTCATGATAGAGTACAATACCATTCCCGAATTCCCGCTTCAATATCATATCATTTTTTAATTTCCTATTACACACAGTTTCCCCATTTTTCATTCTCCATTTCATTTTTCATTTCATTCGTAGAAACTAATTACTTTATAATGTTTTTTAATATCTCTTTTATTTTTCTAGGTATAATAAGATTTAATCAATAATCGTTGAAACTTAATTTTCATTTTATTATGTTTCAGGATATGATTAATTCCAATGTATTTGTAAGTATTGGATTTTGTTCTAAAAAAGGAACATGCTTTTTCGATGCATTCATTGCATCTTTACAAATGTAAAATAATCCTTTCTTTTTCTTTTTCAGGTTCGTTTCCAATTTTTTTTTCCAATGGGTAGCGGGTAGATTCTTTCTTTGCGAAGAAAGGTCTACTTCAGGGATGCGACCCTGCCCATGCAAGCCATGATTTTTTCCTCCCCCCAATGATAGGGAGAAATCATGTCCTTACCTAGAATTTACCCACCAACTATCATCCCTTCTCCACTTCTTTCCCTTTTTTACTTTTTCTTCTATACTTCTTCTAGGTTCTTCATAATAGTGGATTAGTCCAATCGGGGAAAATTTTCACCTTTAAAGTCTCACTTTTCTCCTTCTCTCCTATTCTTTTTAATATTTTGTTCGCAGGATGAACTATGATGCAGAATTCCGTCTAATTGTAAGAGAGGGAGGAAGCGGATCGAAAGAGGACTGAGTTATGGTAAAAATGGTAGTATGAAATAATTATTTTAACAAATAAATGAAGTATTTTTTAATCCGTTTATTGTTTTCCCCGTAGCATCATATATATGTGATAGTTATTTTTAATGCACTTTCTTTTCTTTTTTTTTTTTTTACAAATATACACCATAAATTATGTACATTTATTTTTATTATATTATATTCTAGGTAAATTGAAAATGATTTAATTAAAAATATTTGTAACTTGCAATTCCCGTATGTGCATATATTGAAATTATACTAAGGTGTGTTATTTTTCAGTAAAATCATCGATGTTATTTCAATTCTATTCATGTTGCATTCCTCGTTTATCACTTTGTTATTTGGCATTCAAACTTTTCTCTTTATTTTCGATAATTATTGTAAGGTTTTTTGGATGTAACTCTTAGGGTGGGGCCTAAGAATGAGGTTCCTTAAAAAATGTGTTCAGTTAGATCATTTTCTTTCATTTCAATTTAATTCGGATGTGGACATCTTCAGGATGCACATCCCTCGTGGGTCTTCAGAAGCGGTTACCTCCTCGTGGTTAGACCCGGGCAATGGTATTTTACTTTCAGTATAATGTTTATCATATTTTACATGCTATACATTCTATTGCAAGTGAAATCCAGCCAAAGACCGCTTATAATAAACATTATAATTGTAATTAGTTTCTTTTAACTTCCTAATTAATATCATATTCTTCTATTCCTTTCCGTTATTCCTTCTATCCATTTAATATAAAGAAACTAATTACTTTATAATGTTTTTTAATAACTTTTATGTATTTACAGATATCAGGGAGTAGTCCCAAATTGTTGAAATTTAAGTTGCGATCTATAAAAGAGCAATGGATAGATAATAGGCTTTTTCTTTCTAAAGAATCATTAATAAGATATCACTTTATACATCATTGATAATGTTGCTTACAAATTTGTAATATATTCTTTACAATTTTACATATCTATTGTCCTACTTTAAAATATTACATATCTATTATTCCACTTTGAATATTAATTAATTTTGATCTTATGTTTCATTAGACAAAAATTTTACTCTCGAAGTTATCTCTGCGCAGGACCGGTTAAATAATTACATGAAAATACTAAAATAAGAGCATTATAATCTTAAATTTGATTTATTAGATGCATTATTCATCAATACATTCGGTACATAGATCATATTCTCCGAGTTTTTACACAACAATAGACACTTTTATCGATTAATTACCGATTATTTTAATACTCTAATGCACTCTACTTATATTTAAGATTGTTTAAAAGTATATACATTTGAATAACTATTACATATCTATTAACATATTTTTTACATGATAGGCTTTGAATTTTTCAGCCTTCGACATGCTAGACTCAGAACTTTTCAACCCTCCTATACAAAGAAAAACTGTGTGTGTGTGTGGTGTTCTTCTTTATAATATATATAAAATATTTTTATGTATTCTATCTGTTTAAATGATATCTCGTACATTGTTCGACCCATAAGCCAAAAATGATTCCATACGCAACTTTAAGGAATACCATTACATCATTGCGATAGCTATTAAAAATTTTCTATATATGTTTCTTATCATTTTAATTATTAATTTTGTTTGGCATAGATGTTTATTTAAATTGTTATTTAAAATAATTAATTTGTTTCACGAGCCGCGCGCGCCCAGTTAGGCATAGTTAGTATATGAGATTTCAATACATAAACAATCACATTGGTGTATCACTGCGTCATCTAGCGTTGTACATGCAGAATTAAAATTCATCATCTTATTTTTTTCAACTCTGTCGGTGCATGCTAACTATTTTTTTTAAATATGATTCAACTCGAACACGTCGATAACACAAACTATCATAAAATGGTTACTAATACATCGCATTGCATATATCTTACATAATGTTGGCCCTTTTGATAATAATTACGTCATTTACATTACGCTTGGTATGTTAATTAGAATAATAAATTATTAGATTAGCTATTGTGAAAAAGTTTTCAATGACATTTTGCAACGGAAAATTTTTCGCTTTGGTGAATTCTCATGTATATTATTATTCTGTCCTACTCCCTATTATCTCTTTATAGGTAGACAGATTTGATTTAGCTAAATTGCCGGAAACGTTTTATTTATTATCACTTATTCTCTTCTTCGTATATAATAAACATCTCTTATATTATTTTTCTTTTTCTTATAATATTTTCTTTATTCTCATAACGTTTATCTCTAGATACGCCCGAACAATGAAATATTCACAAATTCTTAAAAAAGTTCATTTTTATATATAGATTTACTTATTTACAGCCTCGTGGCCCATATCAAACTCTCATACTGTTTCCATGCTTATTCCTAAACTTACAATTAAATTTTTACGAATCTCTTATAAATATATTATTATACATAATTAAAATTTTAAACAATTGATTATAAATACCACGTAAATATATATATACACAATAATAGTAGTAAAATGTTCAATGGAAATAATACGAAAATTATTAATGTCCATAAGATAGTATTGAAAAATCAAATTTTCCGCCATTTTGTAATCTCGATTATTTGAAGAGTCTGAAGTTATTTAAAAAGAAATAAGCGGCATGCATTCAAGACACATTAATGGCAATTGGTGGCAATCGTGAAGAGGTACACAGGGTGCGGCAATGTTCAGTCGATTACTTGCGTTCGTCGTCTCCGTCGTCTTCGCCGTCACTGTTGTCGTTGTCATCGTCGATAGTCGTTTGTCGTCGTCGACAAGATAAGTTAGTTAGAGTGAGAAAGAGTAACAATGCGGCTTGTACTCGTTATTCGTCGTGCTCTAAGCAAAATTATAATTAGTCATTTATAGTATAAGAGCGCGAATTGCGTATAAAAATATATATATATAAATATACACTTATATATATTTTTCATATTTAAATATATAAGAAATTGTGTTTATCGTCAAAGTGGTTAACTCTTGTAGTCGTTGTTCGTATAACTCGTAACAAATTCGATCGTTTATATCGTAAAAAAGAACCGAAAATTTATATTCGTTTATAATTTTAACAGAGTTTACATTTAAATATAAAAAAAGTGTTCATCGTCAAGTGTAACTTTATTCCGATAGGATTATCTAAATTATAATTCGTTCGTTCGTTCGTTCGTTCGTTTATTCGTAGCGCGGCGAGGTTATCGCTTTGATGGTGCATAAGAATAGACCGATGAAAATTCTGTTGTACGCCTTTCGCACGGGGTGTGAGATCATAGTTGAAACATTATGACGGACGGTCGCCCTTGCTACGATACGAAGGATCGTTCCTTCCTTTTTCCTTCTATTCAAAAATTATCCTATAGCATATCGGAAAATAATCAAACAAGAGATGAACGTACGTGAAACAAGTTAAATTTAATAACATTGTCCTTGGTTATTACAAAGTGAACACTTTATTTAGACAGTTAGATTAGTTTTTAAACGGAAGTTATTTTTCGACACGATTTTCACCAACGATTGTTTTAACCAAAAAATCAACGACCATGAAGAAACAATTTTTCAGGGTTAAACAGCTCGCCGATCAAACTTTTTCCAGGTAATCGTCTATCTCTTTTCTTATTCTTCTTCTTTTTTTCATTTTTTTTTATATTTTAAACTTTAAAAAAGCAGATCCCACACTTTCTCCATCTTTTTCTATCTTTCGATTGATTTACCTTGAAATCGAAAAAGTCAATCTAGTTTCTTTTTTTTTTTTCTTTGCTAACTTATCAAATTTTATCTACTTTCCTTTTTTCTTGACAAAAAATATCTAAAGTGAAGATAATATGTAATACGATATTTGTTCAATCATTAGAAACTAAACTTTTTGTTTTTTTTACTAACTTTATAACAAATATCGATAATATATGTTTTCTATAGTATTATTGATATTGCACGTTCAAAGGTTATTGACAGGCAAAAGAAGGAAGATTGAAGAGCATGCACTAAAATAAACCATGAGTCAGGATATCCCAAAAGTAGAGTTATTCTTGTTAAAGCCTCTTCTCTTTAGATCGACTAACATTTTCACTTCAAATCATATGTATCGATCTTGTGCGTTATCAACTTTCACATTTATTTGTTCGATTAATGTATCTTCTTTTATATAGAGCGGGCAAAACAGAAGTTCTTACAGATGATTTACAAGCTGCAGACAAACACGTAGAGCAAATTAGAGCAGCTCTTACCGGTTTAAGTAAAAGACTTGGTAATCCACCTAATCAAGCAATTGCGCAGGAACCTGCATTTAAGGAAAAACGTTTGGTAAATTTTAATAAATTTATTTAAAAACAAAATTATCTAAATGCATTTAATTATGCACTAGATTATATGCGTTATTTTAATATATTTATAACAGTAAAGCGCTTATATATATTTAATATTGTCAAGTATAATTCTATTGTGATCGGTTTGTCTATAGTTATTCGTTTATTTGTTAAAGTAAGCATATAGAATTTATTTCTTATTTATGATAGTATTTAAAGTATTTGTAGTAAGATCGTATACAATAATATGTATATTTATTATAGAGAAAATGCCCCGAATACATACTTGGACAAACAATGTTAGAAAATGCTACAGAAGATGGTCTTATGGGTTTTACTCTTTTAGAATGTGGAAAGACACAAATGTCATTAGCTAATGAGACTGTTGAACATGAAGCAAAGGTTGAACAATATGTTGCAGCACCATTACAACATATCTTAGATACTGACATTCCAAATATATTGAAACATAAGAGAAATTTGGCACGATTAATTTTGGACATGGACAGTGCAAGGACACGCTATCAACAAGCTAGCAAGCATAATGCTGGTAATGAATAAATCTTTTTAGTAATTTATATGCTTAAAAAGAAACATTAAGATTTTTCATAATCCAAAAAGAATGTTTACTTCATATTACATATTTATGAATGTAGGAACCGGTGCAACAAAAGCAGATAGCTTAAGAGAAGATTTAGAAGAGGCTGAATCTAAAGTTGAACAATGTAGGGATCAACTTGCTGCAGAAATGTTTCAATTGATGTCAAGAGAAACAGAACTAGCGCAGACCATCATACAATATGTCAAATTACAAAGAGCATATCACGCAAGTGTTTTACACTGTCTTGAAGATCTTATTCCTGGATTAGAAACTTATATCAGTTAGTATATAGTTTATAAATTTGGTACTTCTGATATATTTGATTCTGATTTTTTGATTCCTTGATTATATTAAAATGTGTATACATTTTATAGATAATAACGAAATGAAACCTGTTTATGGTTATCCTCTTGAAGAACATCTTAGAGTAACAAACAGGAAAATAGCATTACCTATACAATTATGCGTATCCGCATTATTGCGTTTAGGTATGGAAGAAGAGGGTTTATTTAGAGTAGCTGGTGCTGCATCCAAATCTCGCAGAATTAAGTTGAGTTTAGATGCATGCTGTTTGACTTTATCCACAGCTTTAGAATACAAAGATCCCCATGTTATCGCCGGTGCATTAAAGTCTTATTTACGTGAACTTCCAGAACCTCTATTAACATTTAAGTAAGTGTGATTTTCCTAATATAGACCGTTCTATTTATTACGCATTTTTATTATCATTTTTATTTTATTACTTCTTTTTAAAGGTTGTACTCCGAATGGATGGCTGCTGCAAAAATAACACAAAATGAATCTAGATTACGTGCGCTTTGGGAAGTACTGCACAAGCTTCCATCTGCAAACTTAGAAAACTTGCGGTTCCTAATTAAATTTTTAGCAGTATTGAGCAAAAACCAAGACATCAATAAAATGTCACCACAAAACATAGCGATCGTTATTGGTCCTAACTTAATTTGGAGTCCACAAGAAGATATAAATACAATAGTGTAAGCCACCTTTTATTTTTTTTTATTTTTCCTATAGAATATTTTTTAATTTATAATTAATTTATTACATTATATATTATATTATATATATATTAAATATATATCACACATATTATTTCAGAATGAATATGAGTACTACAAGTATTTCTAGTCTTATTGTGGATCAGTTGATTACATATGCAGATTGGTTCTTCCCAGGTGAAATAGATTTTGATCGTGATTTAGAAATTGGAATAGTCAATGGTTTGGAACCTCAAGTGATTGGTATGCGTCGCTGTGTTTCTAACAGTAGTCTGAGCGACCACGGTGAAAGTCCACCCCAAGGTAGTCCAAAGCCTGCCGCTCGTAGAAAAAATAAACCAGCGCCAACACCACCGAGTGGTACAACACCTGATAAAAGTGATAAGAAGTGTGATGATAAACCACCTCCGGCTCCAGATAAGCCACCCAGACCTTTAATGTCAGCTACGCTTAATCGGGCAACGTATAAGGCACAAAAGCATGAAGTTAATACAGAATTACTGACGAGACATGAAACTAATGTAGAAAAAGTTGAAAAAAATCCAGAAATCGAAATAAAACATATAGGATTTGAAGGAATACAAGCTCAGGTAGATATTCAAGCTTCGGATAACAGTGAAAATGTTTCCGAAATGAATATTTCGCAGTTTGAATTGGCTAAGAGTAGTGTTGATACAGAAAAATATAAACTAGATACATTAAATGCAGAGTTACAAAAGTCTGAAAAAAGAAATGTTCCTGTTTCTCTTGATAAAACAATAAATAGTGTAGAAAACGTTCAAACCAAGTCATCTGTAGACGTTGACAATTTGGATGTTTCTTCGCCAAGACCTAAGCCATTACCAACAGAAAAACCTGCTCCGTCTACGTTAGAAAGGAGAAGACCAGTTGCTGCCCCTAGAAATATTACAAACATAACGCATAATGCAGGTCTAATTATTTATTAAAAATTAATACATATTTTTTTATAGTTTTTGTTTGTAACGAAATAATGTCATTTAATTGTTAAAATTCTTATAGATGATACAGTTGAATTACGTAAAAAATCTGATAGCAGCAATGTAACAAATTTAAATGTAGGAGACAGAGCTAGTAAACCAGCAATTCCTGAACGACCTGCTGGTTTGGTTCGTCCGTCAAGTCTCATAAGACAACAACCGCGTCAGAGTAATGAAAATTTAGACACCGAATCAGGAGTAAGTATACGTATGTAACATAATATATTATTTATGTATATCTATTAACGAAAAACGAATTTGATTCACCAAATGTATTTATATTTAATAAGAAAGAAATAGAATAGTTAATTTGGTGGACAAATTTAGCCTTAATGTATTTCTGTAATAATGTATTTACTATACGAATTCAAAGCAAGTATTGCAACCTGGATATTGTGAAATAGGAATGTGTAAGCCGTATAAATAATATTGTTTTCAGTTTTTTACAATTAGTAATGAATCTAAGTATAGAATAGTTATAAATATTATTTTAACAACATGTTACATTTTATCTTGTATTTAAATGAGATAAATATGTTAAATAATATTAAAATGTAATTTTAATAAATCTACAGCCCCTTACTTTGGAAAGGGCACACGTGTACTCTGTGGATAAGCAACAGGTCAGTATAATACAAGTGCGTGGAAATGGCAATGTGTTGTGCAATCCAGGAGAGAGCAATGGCAACACAGCTTCGAACTTGCAGAGAAGTCCTAGTGTGGGTAGTCGACCTTCGTCTATGTCTTTGTATGGTGAACGACCAGAGAAACCTGCAAGACCAGATGTCCCAGACCAGGCTAAGGCACATTCAAGGACTAAATCTGAAGGCAACATTATTGACGTTCAAACACAAACAGAAACTGTAGTTGTGCTTAAGTCACCACAACAACCTGTTCCAGCATCCCCAAGATTTCATCAAAGGCCTCCTAGGCCACAACCACCACCACCTCCACCTCCTTCAACTCGGCCTAAATCCGAACAAGAGAGTACTAATCTTTAAAAAATTCCATCTAAAACGATGGTCCTTGTAATTATCGATAAAGCAATTAATGCATCATCGATTATTTTGCATGTAATGATGAGAGGTGTCTTAGCGTAATGCTATAATATTGTGCGATTAGAAAAACAATTTCTATGAACTTTAAATGAAATATTTATGTAACGCATAACTCTTTAAAAAATATTATACCTGATTTGCATATCTTAACAAATATTTTTTTATGGCTTATCAAATTTTATACATTTTGTTAAGAGATCAAATATATAAACTGAAAATTAGCATAAATATAAAAGAAAAAAAATAATTTAAAATTCGATTTCCTTTTAAACGCGCGTCCCTCGAAGCGCACAAAATGCAAAGTGCATTTAGATAAAATATTCAAGTTATAGCTATTTGATAAGATTATCATTTTTAATATATAACATTGTGAATGATACGTCCATATAAAAAGGAACTTTGACTAACGTGTGAATATTTCTATTGGAATTGAGCTTTTGAGTGATATGTATAGTTAAATGACCCTGTTTTAAGTATAAGCGTGTACATTAAAAGTACATGTTAGTTATACTTGAATTATGCATATATAAAATAATATCTTATACCTTAACTTATTTGCATTTTTTGATCTTTATCATTGAATGATTACAAAACAATGGATGGTTAACATTGTATAATATTCTATTTTTCAAATAATGCGTGAAAATGTTAGATTTCTTTTTTCAAGAGTATTATAAATGAGCAAATATTACTCTTGTTGTTTTATAGCCAAATTTAATATCTGTGCACAAAACACGTATATATATATACAATATATATTCTTTCAAAAATATGTTAAATAATATCACCATTAGCTTTATTTTGAGAAATTTATAGAACAATTAAGTGCAATTGGAAGTAGCACGTATGTTTAAATATATATATGCTCTTTCAATTAAAAAGAAAAAAATATCTATGTTATGTTATATTGCATTATATCATATACAGTTTATAATTATTTAGCAGATGTGATAATGTACATTTGACAATGAGACGAGTATTATTTGTTATAAATTATATAACATGTTTTTATATTATTTAAATTACTAGAAAGATTACGTTAAAATTATTGTAAAAAGTTCAATTCTTATATCAAGTTTTTTTTCTTCTAGTATTATTCCAATGTAATATCGTGCAATTAGTAATTAACTATTTCAAATAACCACGAGAGTATATGTAATATTTTTTCTATCACAAATGAAAATATTGCTTTTACAATTAAATGGTATTCAATGCATTTTAAGATGCGAATGGCAGCTGATCTTGTATTCCCTCAGAGACGTATTTGAATCCTTATATTCTGTAAAAGTGTATTTTTAAATTTAAAAAATTATATGTAATCAGTTTTCTTTTTTCTCTTCTTTTTTTTTTTTTTAAATTTAATTTAATTTTATTATAATATTGTTATGAAAATAACGCAAATGACAAATCATGCATTTACCTAAGGAGTGCTTAGGCTGTGAATGTAATGGACTATTAAAGGATTTATTTGTATATAAATAAAATGTTTCCTTATCAAAATAATCAGAGTATAATAATAATAAATTGCTAAACAATGTAAAGGTTACCAAAATATTATTAACACGTTAAATTTATTGAAGTAGTTAAAGAATATAATCATTACTACAGTACAATTTAATTATACACATAATCATATTTAATTAAAGAATAGCTAGCACTTTTTCATCAGCAACATCTTTTGGTTTCATACCATCATTATCTTCTACAGATTCAGCCCCCATAGAAATTAAATATTCAACCACATCTACATGTCCGCAAGATGCTGCATAATGTAAAGGTGTTTGCCCATCAATATCTCGAGAATTAATATCGGCACCATGTTGTATCAAGTATTCGATAATTACAACATGTCCACGATCTGCTGCCCAGTGTATCGGTAACAAACCATCTTTATCCAATATATTCGTTAATGTAGAATTTTTAAGCAAAATTTCTTGTACTTTTTCTTGGTTACCTTCTTTTATCCAATCAAGAAAAGTTTTATCCGTATCAAGTAATTCTTTTTCTGTATTAGGTAATCTACTAACAGTGATCCATGCACGGGATTCTGTTGCTGCATCTGTTTCCCAGGTAGGATTTATTTTGGCCAATGCACATACATAATTATTCATTGCAGTTTCTTGATCCATTTCACCAAGACTTTTCCATGCTACCCATTTTTGTTTCGCTTGCATTTGATACCAATTCGGTTTGGGAATATTGCATGGGCCAATAGTAGCTTGTTTGTATAGACTATATAAATTAAGTAGTTGTTCAGAATCTAGTTCCGACGCTATGGTTTGTACATATTTTGCAGCTCTGTCAAATGTTTTTTCTATATTTGTTACATCAAAATCATTATTTTCAGCCATGATCAATAGATATGTAATTATTGACTTGTTTAATTTCTTTCAATCATTTTTTGTATTCTTTTATTCTTATATTATAATCGTCTATAATATGATCAGATTGCTGTAATACTTTATCGTACACTGATTTATCAATAAAATCGACAAAGCCAAATCCCCTACTAAAACCTGTTTTCTTGTCAAAAATTACATTCGCTTCATGTACATACCCATATTTATTGAAGTACGATTTAAGTTCATGTTTACTCACGATCCATGGCAACTTATGAACAAATATTCTGTATATTTTACGTGTATTACCCATGATATTAAAAAATAACTCAAGTTGCTTTTTGTATATCCAGCAAGTGAATAGTATGATCTCGCATCAAATCGTGTATGTCAATGTCAGAATCCGAACCAAGAGTAGAAAGGGATATTTGATTACACGTAAGGCCCCACTTAGTTAATAAATGCTCTATAGACCAATCTGCACTACGCTCTTGATAAGTACATAAAAATTTAGCATTCGGATTCTTTTCCAGGAGAAAAGCCACAGTTACAACTATATCTTCAAATAATGTTGGTTCGTAGAAACAGTCAGATGCAAGAATTAAATCTAATGGACCAATGGTAAATAAATTAGAAAGAAATAAACCCCAAGTTATTCCAACTATTCTAACTTGTGATAAAATCCCATTTAACTCGCAGCTTCTTTTAATGTGTTGTAAGCTTCTTGGTAAACTGGCAGAGTCACTTAAAGTTACAACAGCTCCGCATTTGCTGGCTAAAATACCAGGAAGAGCAGTACCCGAACCTAATTCTAAAACTCTTTTTCCTATGAGCTCTTCTCTATGCTCCCACAAAAACCAAGCAAGTACTGGCGCAGATGGCCAAGTGTAATAATTATAATTTGGTTGAAGTATCTGAAATGAAATACAATGACAGGTAATTATTAAATTTTAACAAGTTAACAAACACGTTAGGATGATATATTTCATTCACTATTGGATACTATTTAAATTAGATCATTTATAAAAAAGAATTATATAAATATAAAGTCATCGTCGTTTAATTCTAACCAAACAAAATACGTAATACCGGTAGCGAAAACTAAATTTATCAATATTATCCAAGATAACATTAATAGAGATTTACATTGGTAATGAATTTCTTACCTCTGGTATATAAATTTCTAAACTTTCGTCGTTCTGTATGCTATCGTGTATTTTTCGCGATCGGAAGAGAAATTTTTTTACGTTTTCAGAAGCGACTCCATCGGACATTAGGCCGTGCGTGGGTGGACTCGTATCGAGCGAAATACTTCCTTCTAAACCTGGCATTACTAACAAACTAAATTCGAATTAATTAGATTTTATTTTCAACATAATTATCGTCTGATCGTTGTACATTCAATTTTTAATCCGATGCACAAATATGAACTTAATACAATAAATATAGTTTCTCTCTTGTCGAGAGTTGTTTTAGATTGTAAAGCAACGATGACTAAAACCACACGAGCAGGAAATTTAAATTTTACTCTACATCCATGTTTCTTTACTTTTCGTTTATTCCCTTATTTCTTATAGATTTGTTCGATATTTTTATAATTTATAATAAATTTCATTAAATATTTCTTATTAATCGATATAAATATAATAAATATTTGATAATTACGTATTTATAAAAATACAATTAATCAGATTTTTATTATAAATAGTCTATTTTAAGAAATAACAGATAATTTAAGTCGAATTTTATCGTTAATATCTTCATTTATTTTATTACCTTAAAAAATAATACAATTATTCGATAAAAATGTAATTAATTTATTTAAAATCAATTAATGATTTTGGTGATCTAGAGCAGGACACTTTGATACGGCACTGTTACGCACCTTTTGATTAAAGATGGAGGAGGCGAGTAACGAGAAGTTCTCGTCGAGAAGACGTTCCGCTGTAATTAAGTCTTTTAAAGCGAAGGATGAACGAGTAGCAACATTCAAAAAGGTACATTTTCTACCTTTTATCGTGTATCATATATCGTACTATTTCTTGAAATTCTTTTTCGAATATTATTCATTCGCCCGGCTGTTCCTTTCAAATTGAAGTGTTGTAAACAAATCACTGCAAAGAATGACAGGCGTCAATTTTAGGTGGCTGCGATACTGCAAAAACCTGAAATTGACAGAACACCGGAGGAGGTGGATATACTCGTCTCTTGTAGTGACGTAGTGAAGGAGGTTAATTTAAGGTATGGCCATTTTGTAAAATCTCGATTGCGTTGATATATCTAATTATGCTATTATTCAATATTTCATTCTAATTAGAGCGAACCTTATGGCGAAATTATTTGTTTATTTCCTTTGTATTTTTAGCATTTCTTTGATATTATATATTAAGAATTTATATTCAAATATAATATAAATATGACGAAAGGAAAAGTATATTATGAAAATATTATATATGACAATTTTTGTAACATGGATATATTTATTTTTTAATCTTACATCATTTTTAATGACAACTTTCTAACTAATTTTGTAGACAAGAGAAAAGGGATAGGGTTAAAGCAAGATTGGAAGAAATTGAAGATGTACCAGAGATTTTGGAAGAAAAATGTATTAGGTTGGCTGCTGCTATTAGCAGAGCCAATTCTCTTGCTGTTTATACCGGTGCTGGTATTAGTACAGCAGCATCTATTCCTGATTACAGAGGAACCAATGGTGTATGGACTAGAATGCAACAGGGAAAAGATATTGGGTAAAGTTATTTTCTAATAATATATTGAATAATATATTTTGTAACAATAATAATCATATTTTATATTGATTGATCGTTTATAGGAACCATGACTTGAGTCAGGCTGAACCAACAGTAACACATATGGCTTTGTATGCTTTATACAAAGCACGAGTATTAAAACACATTGTATCACAGAATTGTGATGGACTTCATTTGCGTAGTGGTATACCACGCACTCTTTTATCTGAAGTTCATGGAAACATGTATGTTGAAGTTTGTAGAACTTGTAAACCGTCTAGAGAATATTGGAGGATTTTTGATGTTACTGAAAAGACAGCTAGATATTCGCATGGTACGGGTAGATTATGCCACAAGTGTAATTCCACTTTGCAAGATTCAATAGTACATTTTGGAGAAAGAGGAAATTTACCATGGCCGATCAATTGGAACGGTGCAACTCGAGCTGCTAAGCAAGCTGACGTGATATTATGTTTGGGTTCTAGTCTTAAAGTTTTAAAAAAATATCCGTGGCTATGGCAAATGGATAGGCCAGTACACAAACGTCCTTCATTATATATCGTCAATTTACAATGGACTCCGAAAGACGAGAACGCTGTATTGAAAGTCAATGGAAAGTGTGACGAAGTTATGAAAAAAGTCATGACCCATTTAGGATTGGATATTCCAGAATATAATCGTGCAAAAGATCCGATATTTTTTCATGCTATAAGACTGCAGAACAGTGAATTACCCACTACGACTCAACCGTGCTTGGAGGAGCCAACCATAGTAGCGACAGTGAAAAAATCCCCGCGCCAAAGTACCGAGCAACCCCTCGAGGATGCCGTACCAGAAACTAAAGAAACAGAAGACTGTATCTCTCCTATAAGCGTAACTGATTCTATGACTGCCTACTCAGCACCTTTCTTTACTGCATTGCCATTTTTATCTATGGGATTACCTTTCCCACCCATGTACATGTATCCTCAATTAACTCCATTGTTTTATTATCCATTCATACAAATACCCAATGTTAATGCAACAGAAACACCAAAACCTAAACCAGCTTGTTCATTTTGTATGGAACATGAAGGTTCCCTTACTTGCCTCTACTATCAGCGCAACGGAGACGATCCCGTATTATTAGAAACGGAAAATGAACACATACAGGAAGCGGAACAATTAGTTATTGCTGATGCACCATTGGCATCAGCTAAAAATCCCGGATGGTTTGGCAAAGGGTATCGTAAAGGTATGAAAAAGAAGCGGTAGCACCCACTCGAAACAGAACGGCACGTAATGGTTCCCCTTTTTATTATTATTATTATTGTACGCTAATCAGATAATGAATATTACAATGGCGTACTTAAGTATTTAAAGTCTTCATATCGTAACAACAAATATTATACTTACACGGAACATTTTTCAATGTAGCGAGATTCCGTTCGAATGTTCAGTGCATGAATAGATTCGTCGAGATTATCAGTCAGTTTTAAAATAATAGACAGAAGCAATTTCAATGAAATTGCTTTACATGTTCTTATTAATAAGATAACGTAGTCATCTATAGATGATTGTGAAAATTGAAACAGAAATTATTTTCTTATTGATATTAGTTACACATTTGATTTGTCGCATTAATTACTAATTTTTAATAACAAATTTTGGTTTTATCAATCTCATTTGACAGCTATTTCTACTTATATATTATTATTACTATTATTTTTATTTTACAATTATATTTCTTACTACGAAATAAGGAAACTGAAATTTGTTTAATGTTTCTGTAAATTCGTTATAATATTTTTATTCGTTATAACTTTAACGTTATATATCATTAGTGATATATATATATATATATATATATTGACATGATAAGAATTATTTTGAACTAGTCTTTAATGCATTTTGCTGTTCATTTTTTTATCATTATTTTTCTCTTACTCTACAAAGAATATTTAAAAACAATTCAAAGAAGAACAATCAAAATGAATCTTTGAACGAAAATCAAAGGAATTTCAAGAGCATAACAAATTAATTTACTCTTTTAATAAAAAAAAAAGGAAAAGGAAAAGAGAAAAAGGGTTAATCTTTCCGGATTAATTTCAATATACGAGTGATTTTACGTTGGAGGATGGATAACATGATATTATTATTTTCGATTGATTTTATACATCTACTTTATATAAATAACAAAAAAGTATGTAATTTAAATTATTATTATTATTATTATTATTATTATTATTATTGTTATTTATAAGAGAACGATCGTTGTGTATTTTACATTGTATAAAGATCAGTATTTATCTCGTCGTCCATCTCGATGAACTTTTCGATAGTTTTATCAATATTTTCTTCTTCATTAAAAGAAAACAAGCGAAAGAAATCATCTTTTAATCGTTCCTCGATGTCGTCGTGCATTTAAAAAAAAAAAGCACATATTGCATCAGTATAGTTCCGTCGATATACGAAGTATATTATTAGTATATTTACGTAATTTATATAAAAAGGTACCATCGAGGAGAGGAGGAAGGAGGAAGTGGAATAGTAAAGGGGAAAAGTAACGTATAAATTGTAAAAACCCTGTTTGTTTGTTTTTTATTCCTTTTTCTTTTCTCTTCAATAAATTTAATTTATTTCTTATTTAACGCTTTTTCCGATATTTATGAACAATATGTATTGCGCAATAATAAGATCATCATACTCTGTGGTGCGATAAGCCATTTCCTATCTTTGTACTTTGTTGTAGAAAAACGAAGCATATATACATACATATATACATATATATCAAGAGAGTTCCGCATTAGAATTAAACAAAAAAAAAAGAAAAAAAAAAAGAAAAAACATTTTAATTCGTCAAAATCCTATTTTTTTACCGCTGAGCTCGCTTGATCATATTGCGTGACGGCTGAGATGCGATTTATGTTGTACATTTTGTGTATATTTTAATACATACATGATAACATTTGTGTCTTCTTATGTGTATATAATTATCGCTCAAAATTAATATGATATTTATATATATATATATATACATATATTTTATATTAAAAATATAATAAGAATATTTAAATAGAAGATTAAACGCGTGCGAGCTCGTCTAACGTTATCGTTAGATAAGACTTCTAACGATAAGCATTATAATAGCAGAAGCTTGGGATTCTGCTATCGTTTCTCTTAAATTCGGATCGATCTTGAAGTAAAATGAAAGAGAGATAGATTATGCGCTTTTGGAAGACCTCTCTCTGTGCAACAAGACAATGTGGGATGATGGTCCCGCATGTCCTCGTCGTCGTTCTCGTCGTGGCTGGTGTGCCATCAGAACAATCGATATACGTAATACGGAGAGTTGTCGGTAAAAGAGGAGTGGTTCCTGCAGGAGAGGGAGAGAAATTAATAGACAGTTACGAATGGAATACGTTTTCGGTTTAACTGAAAATGACTTCGTGCCAGTCAAATTCTGACATATCTATGGGTATACGAGATAATTAAGATTATTATTTTTCTATTTGTTTTTTTTTTTTTTTTCATACATTACTCGTATGCATTAGGTGTACGTAATAGAAAAATATATGAAGGAAAGAAGGATTGATAAAAGGGTAGCCATATTGGAACTTTGAAAATCCCTCGCGTCAGGAGCGTGTGTGAGGTACCTGGGAACTTTAAAATCGTTACTCCGGCACTGAGTAAAGAAGAAGAAAATATACCAGGAAGGTTGAGGGGAGGAGAGAAAGAGCAAATAGGAAGGACGGATAAATGCATGCAATCTCGTCAATAGCTATGTAGGAGAGAGAGAGAGAGAGAGAGAGAGAAAGAGAAAGAGAGGATAGGAGGTCGATACAAAAATGAGAGAGAGAAAGTAGTTGGACACACGCAAGTACACACATACATAAATACACATACGGGTGCATATAAATACATACATACATGTTCAGGTATACCTTTTCTCCCTCTCACCTTTTCATCGTGCCTATGCCCTCGTCGAATCTTGCGCGAGAAACTAATATCGCCGTATATTGTCATTAAAACGGGGTAGTTATATATCTAACCAGATTTTTTTTTTCCTAAAATGATAAACTTTAAAAGATGGTAAAGAAATGAGTAATGAATAAAGGTAATGAGAAATAAAACGAAGACAAAGAAATACGTAAGTAAGCAAGCAAGCAAGCAAGTAAGTCGTGTATGCAAGGTAGATATAAGGTTTATTAAGGAGCGGCGCCCCCGCACGGGACGTAGTCGCACGCTGCAAATCTGGCTTTAAACGTGGATACGACCGACAGTGTTAGCGGTGGTAACGACGACGACGACCCCGACGACGACCCCGACGAAAACCCTGACGAAGACGACGACGACGACGACGACGATAACGTCGACGTTGATCACGACGATAACAAAGACGACGAAGACGAAGTTTGAGACGAAAACGGCGGGAGCAGCGTTTGCTGCGACCCCGAGGAAGAAGAAGAGGAAGAAGAAGAAGAAACTAAGTTGGACAAGTATCAGGTGGAGAAGGAGGAGGAGAAAGAAAAGAAAAGAACGAGGAAGCTCGGAGGAGGAAGGACTCTGCTAAAAAGAAGGAAGAACGTCGACGTGAACGAGCAAGGATCGTACCGGTAAGTGAACGCAAAGCTTGTGTCTAGTGTAGTAATGCTTTCCTTTCTACTTGCTATAATATGTGTATATGTGTATGTGTGTTTGTATGAGAGTGAGAGAGAGAGAGAGAGAGAGAGAAAGAGAGAGGAAATGAAAGGTAAAAAAGCGAAGAGGACGACGCAGGGTTGTTCCGAGACGATGGGTGTCCTTTGTGTGCGAGGGGTGCGGATTGAACGACGCACAGCGAAATAGAAAGAGAGATAGAGAGAGGGATAAGAGTAGGAAAGATAGGTTCGAGGGAAGGTCCACATTTCGTTTCCATGGTGATCATCCGCAACGTCACCCTACCTCTCTAGTACGCGAACTCAACGCCACAGACACGACATTCTAACGCGAACCTTTACTTTGGGTTCGACAAGTCGAGAGCTACAAAACGGGATCGTCGATGTTGTACCGATGTTACCGATACTAACAGCAGCTGATCTTTTTTTCTATCTTTCCAACGGCTGTTTTTTTTCAATATCTTCTTCCCAGTCTTCTTTATATATTCGACCTAGTATTATATATATATCGTATATATATATACGATTTATCGTCGTAAGGAAGGAGGGCAGGAAGAGGGAGACATGAGAGAATATGAAAAGGTTCGGAAGGGTCCAACGATTTACCTGGAATTTTGGCGCGTTCTTCTATTGCAACGCGATCCGGATTCCGGATTTCACGAACAAAGTATTTGGAATAGCAGAAGGAATATCGAGGATGTCGATATTACGATGCTAAGATATTTTACGAGAATGTATATAGCACCGGTACCTTGTACCCTCGGCTTCTTCCTATATTTTCTTCTCATTGTTCTGTTCTTACTCAAAGAATTTCGTCTTATCGAACAATAGGAATTTTGTCAGTTTTTGATTCTAATTTCGAAAAGGTTGTATTTGAATTTTGTATGTTATCGTATTGTGATGAATATTCTTGAACTATCAGATAACTGGTACGACGATATTTATTTAAATTTGGAACAAGTTTGTTTTTAATTGGAAAATTAATTATAGATAATTGTAATTCTCATTAGAATGTTGTTTTGTCGTTGCTTTTTCTTAACTCTCTTTCTTTTTCACTGTATTTCTTTTATCCTTTCCCTTTGATATAATTGATGATAATTAGTTGTATTGTTTGGCCCCTACCGAGTTGAGCGAGAAACGTATATACGCGTACGAGTTTATGTTAACCTCTGCGCGTTCAAGAGCACTCCTTTTAACTCGCATAAATTACCGCGTGGTACGTCTCTCCGTTCGTTAAAATTTCTCGTTCGATACTATGTATGTCGTACGTACGTATGAAAAGGTCGGATAAAAAGAAGATACGCGTTAGCAAGCAGTCGCCGTTACATGTCAGTAGGTTAGATTAATGAAGCTTATCTTGAACACTTGAAAACGAACAGCAGGGTGAATACACTATTTTTAAAACGCTTGGGAAAAATACAGATGCCATACGAATCTTTCGAAATGTTTACATTTCATATTTTACCGATACCCGTTTTCTACGTATGTATGTCTTATATTAGATCGTTGTTTATTTTCAAAGCTTGTTCTGAAATGATTGCTATCGGAGTATATATACGTTAACACTAACGCTCCGTTTTACTTATTGAAGTAATTCGACTTCGTTAACATCGATTGATATAAATACAACAAACGCTCGACGAAAGCAATCGTCGATTTTTCTATCCTTTCGTTCAATCGTGTCCCTTAACAAGTTTCATTTTCCCTTAATAGAAACGAGTTAAAACTGAGTACATATACTGGAAGAGGAGGAGATCTGCAAGTCGTAGTTTTAGCAATACGACGTGTCCTTTGTTCCTTCGTAATTCAGGATTATAATTCTTAACGATACAACAAACGTGTATCACGTGTATCACCATCTTAAAGTCATCGAACGGTTTCCTCATTACGTATTCTCGATACAAGCGTAGGTAGTTGCACGTGGAGTCATTGGATATTGCAGCCTCCTCTTCCTTTTCTTTCTCGAAAAAGTTAAAAGGAAACTCTGTAGTAAAAATATATACGAGAAGATCAATGAGGCGTTATATTATCTCCGAGAAGAAGGCCGTATAATTTGTGATGAATTATAAGCGCGTTATCGCGTTAAAATATT